GCCTGCCACTCCCCCTGCTTGTACTCTTTCTGTCTCTCTCTCTCTCTGACAAATAAATAAATAAAATCTTTAAAAAAAAAGGAAAGGAAAAATAAGTACAGTATGCTTTTTGCAGTTTTTATTTATTTTTATTTTTAAATTTTTAATAAAGATTTCTTCATTTATTTTTTAGAGACAGTGTGTGTGTGTGCACGAGTGGTGGGGAGGGGCAGAGCGAGAGGGAGGGAGAGAATCTCAAGCAGATTTCCTGCTGAGCATGGAGTCCAACACAGGGCTTGACGCCACGACCCATGAGATCATGACCTGGGCCAAAACCAAGAGTTGGATGCTCAACTGCTCAACTGACTGAGCCACCCAGATGTACCCCCTTCCTTTTTTTTTTTTAAAGATGTATTCATTTATTGTTTAGAGAGAGAGCAGTTTCAGTTTTTTAAATATTTGAAAATAATACAAAATTAAAAGAAAAGATACATGCCTTTGAAAAACTTGAAGCAAGGTTATTTAGCTTAGAATCATTCTCTGGTCCTGCATTGCAAACAACTTCTATTACATCTGTATCCATTCTCAAATTTACAAGATGGAGAAAAGTCCTTGAAAAATTTTTGACTGAAGGTCTCAGATACAAACCTAAAATATTCTTTAGGGCATCTTAAAATACATCTTTGTAAGTTAAATGATTTTCAAGTAACTTTTATTTCCCCTAATCCTGAAGATTGGAAAGACACAAAACATGCTTGCCAGCCTCCAATCTTGGTGCCAGATCTCTCTCTGTTTTTTCTGTCTCTCTCTCTCTCTTCCTGTCTGCCTGCCTTGTAAAGATATGGAAGCTTCATTTTCAGAAAGAATTCAAGACATGGAGGTTTTCGACAGTTGACAGTCACCCTTCGTTACCCTTGGATATTCTGGTCTATTCAGTGTAGTTCCATTTCTTGTCTTTGTAAAACTGAAATCTACACTGAATTTCCTCCTTTCCAGGTTCCTTCATTTATAGAATTGGGCCCACACTACATAGCCTGGCTTCAACTGACCTTTCTAGATTCGTCTTTGGTTATCACCCCATGCTCTGGTTATAAAGAACTTCTCATCCTGTGAACAGGTTATAATTTCCCAAACTTGTAATGATAAGTTATAAGAAGGCTCCTGCCCAGGAGCCCCTACCTTCTTACACTGTAGACTCCTAAGCATCCTTTGAGCATACATACTTCAAATGTTCTCTCCATTGTGCATTCAGCCTGAGTGCATAGGTGACACTCTGTGAATGTATGTAACTGATTCAGAAGCAACAATTAATTGGGTATAATTTATGAGGTAGGGGTATAGGATCACTATTTAGCCTATTTTCTCCTTAAGAAAAATAACAAATTTGTATAATCTACTAAGACTGCCTTCACAAAAATAAAATTAGAAAGATTCCATACCTACTTATTTTCTACTTCATTTAGCTTTAGAAAAAGATAACTTTTTTTTTATTTAATAGACATATAAATGGAAATAGGTTCTATCTGGAAGAAAATGTATTTTTATTGGAAATGTTAGAAAATAATGAATCTAAGTTTATGAACAACATTAGCAAGATGTGACGATTTAACCTTTTTTCTCAATCAGATGTTGCTGACTTTTTGGATTTAAAAAAATATATGTAAAAGCAAAGAAAAAAACTCTGAGACTAAAAACTGATAACTTCCCAAATTAGAGATAATCCCATAAAAGTCAGTGGTATATAAGTTAAAGCTTTTTTTTTTTTTTAAGAGAGCCAATTGTTGTTAGTTACTCTTAGTTAAGCTAGTCATTAAGGTATAGAGAGTTTTATAACATTTTTAAAATACTGTGAAAATAATTTAGCTTTGTGGCTTTCACTCCCCATTAGAAGCAAACATTGATTTGATTTGTATTATCATAAAATAATTTTATTTATGAGATCATCCTTTTACTAGGGCACCTGGGTGTTTCAGTCAGTTAAGGTAAGCATCTGCCTTTGGCTCCATCTGGGGTCCTGGGATCAAGCCTGGAGCCCCGCATTGCACTGGATTCCCTGCTCAGTGGGGAGCCTGCTTTTCCCTCTCCCTCTGCCCCTCCCCCAGTTCATGCTCTCTCTTGCTCACTCTCTCTCTCAAATAAATAAATAAAATCTTTTTATTAAATAAATAAAATCTTAAAAAAATCATCCTTTTACTATTTCCTTGGTCCACTATTCAACTCCTAACTCTTATTCCCTTGGATACCTTGCAAAATTCTTACAAATGGTTATTTGCAATGTGATATGTTGTTGAAATAATCAAGAAAGCCAAATTATGTTAAAATTTGGGGCATTGTACAGAATTTGAGGTCAGCAAAATGTCCAGTTAAAAAAATTGTTATAAAACTAACTGTGGCTCTTTTTATATTTGTAATATTTCAATTTTAGACATAAATTTGGAACTTTTATGCTGTAGAAATTAATCTTGACTTTGCTTATTGTTTAAAATATTCAGTTATTTTTAAGTTTTGTAATCTGACACATTTTAAACTGTTCCTTTTTACTTTGTGTCATCTGCCAATTTGAGAATCACATAGTTCATATCCTCATCAAAATCTGGTTATATCAAGAAAAGAGTCCTAGGATACTGGCCAACATTAGTATTCTATGGAGCCAGGGGTGAACCTAACACTGGGAGTGACTCTGCCCAACCATTTTACCATACAGCTTCTGCTTCTTCATCTTGTCCCCGACGGTGTTGATTATGTATTTTCAAGGCATATCTTTCTGTCTGGATTACATCTTCTTTTCTGCCTTCACTTTCATCCTAGAGAATCACATCTAGTCGCATGACTTAAAATACATCAGTGTATTAATATGCCCAAATTTATTACTCCAGCTTGGACATCTCTCCTGAACTTAGATTTATTCATCAAACTGCCTACATGGCATTTCATCTGGAGGTCTAACTCCCACTTCAAACGAACATATCCAAAAACAGAGTCTGTTTCTCTCCCCCTCACCCTATACTTACTCTAAAACTTCTTATTTTGCAAATGGTATCTTTGTTCTTCTTGTTCCTCAGGCTTAAATCCATGGAATCAGCTTTGATTCCTTTCTCTCTCCCTTCACATAATCAACAACAAGAACTTTGGCCTCTTCTTTTAAATATATCCAATATTTGGCCACTTCTTAACAACTCTGCTCCTGCTACTCTGGGTCTGGTCACGATCATCTCTTCTATGGATGGTTGCAGTAACCACTATTTGGTCTCCCCACTGTTCACATTTGCTTCCATGGTCTATTGTCCACATTATAGGAGGGATGATCCCTTCAAACTGATCTTAAATAAGTCATCTTCTGCTTAAGATCCTCACTGGTTTTTGCATCTCACAGTACAATCCAGGGTTTACCCTCATTAACTTATTAATTTGCCCCCTGTCTGGTTCCCTTTCTCCCTCCTTCCTTCCTTCCTCCCTTCCTTCCATCTTCCCTCCCCTTCCTTCCTTCTTTCTTCCCTCCCCTTCCTTCCTTCCTTCCTTCCTTCCTTCCTTCCTTCCTTCCTTCCTTCCTTCCTTCTTTCCTTCCTTCCTTCCTTCCTTCCTTCCTAGGTAGGCTCCACACCCAGCATGGAGCCCAGTATGGTGCTTGAACTCACAACCCTGAGATCGAGACCTGACCTGATATCAAGAGTCAGACACTTAACCGATTGAGACACCCAGGTATCCCAGCCTCCCTTTCTCTTTTCTTAAAAAAATTTATTTTAGAGAGAGAGAGAGCATGTGCATGAGCAGGAGTAGGGGCAGAGTGTGAGGGAGAGGGACAAGCAGACTCCAAGCTGAGTGCAGAGCCTGCCACAAGGCTTGATTCCACGACTCTGTGATTAAGACCTGAGCTGAAATCAAGAGTTAGAAGCTCAACCGGCTGAGCCACCCTGTTGCCCCAGACTCCCTTTCTTTTACTGTCCTCTGACTATTTTGCTTCCCATCACTCTACCTTTGCTTCAGCTATTCTGTCTTCTTTAGGATGTTCCCGAGTCAGGGCTTCATCTTGTCTATCCTCCTATAATACTGCCCTTCTGCCCAACTCTCCCTTCCTTTCCCCAATATCTGCATGGCTCACTTCCTCGCCTTTTGCAGTTCTTTGCTTAAACACTCAGTTACATTTCATTAGAGTAGTCTTTTTTCACCAGTACCATTCTCATCCTCTGTAGCCTGTTCAATTTTGTTCATGGCATTATCACCTCCAAACATGTTTCATATTTATTTTTCATCCCCCTCTTTTGATTTGATTTGTATTATCATAAAATAATTTTATTTATTTTAAGCTCTATGTGTGCAAGTATTTGTTTTCAACTGTTGTATTCCCAGTGGTTAAAATGACGCCTGAAATATAGTAGAAACTTAAATATCTATTGAATGAACAGAATGAACAGATAATTAAATAGATGAATCAGTGAATGCTGCATGCAGAATTAAATGTTAATGAGAAAAACATGCAGTACAATGCATTAAGAAGAGGTGCAAGGGTGGTAAAATTAAAAACATTCAAAAAGTAAAAAATTTCTGTTATGCATTTTTTCTAAAAAAAAAAAGGCTCTAAATTTGAATTTGGCCATCTAAAAACTCCAAATCCAAAACTTTAGTAATAGAAGACATGGTTAGGCAAAATTCTCTGATTGTCAGGCCAATCCAGAGCTAATTTGGGGTTTGTCACGCATTGCCAAGGTACATTCGTAAATGGGAAATTGTGTGCATAGTAGCAAAGACATAAAGCTGTAGAGTTTAATTATATTTAAATTAATTCAAGAAGAGGCTGAAGAACTCTTTTCTGACACCAATTAGGGGAGAGTGGCTTCTAAAGAATAAGTCATCTGCTGAAGAAAGACTCACAGTTTATTTGACTCTAACTCCACATAAATTCTAGGTTGTTGATTTTGTTAAAACATAAGGCAATAAAAATAATAAATGCCATATATAGCAAGAGCTTAGACTTTCTGGAGAAATTGATATGGTGTTTTTGTATTCATTGTAAAAGCGCTCACCTTGAACAACTCGACTTTGCTGATGATGCTGAGATTCACATCCACGGTGAGGGCTAATTGCATGGTGACAGGCAGGGAGCAGAGCAGATCGGACTCATCTTTGCAAAGACAAACACATGAACCCAGAAGCAGAATAATTAATAAAAAAAACCAGCAAAGTATAAGAAAAATTTTAAAAATTGAGGAAATAAAGTGCCAACTCTTTTTATAAATAGCTGCATCAAATTCTATACTTTTATTACTTCTATTGGACATACCTATGTATCACAATCACACTATCACTTTCATGGAGAAAAGTATATTAACTATTGATGACATAATAGTTCTTAATAGTTTCAGGACATTGTGTTTACTGAAACTTTAGATGTAAAGTTTAGTGATCGTGAGACAATGGCTAGTGAACCACTTGATGGAAAAAGGATCTAGATCTTGTCTTTTGAGTCTGTGGATTCCAGCTCTAACATCCTGGGGATGGCAAGTTATAATGAGTACCATGTGGCATTTGAAAGCTTACTGAGCTCTGTCACTATCTTATTTGACCCTCCTGACAAACCTAAGGGTAAGTGTTCTCAATCCTGCTTTGCAAAAAGAAGAAACAAAAAAAAGAACTGAAGTTCAGAGAGGTTGTAAGTGACTTGTTCAATTGTGTATAATTGGAAGATGGCTCAGTTGCGAATGGAATCTAAAAGGAAATGTGCTGAGTAAATTCAAATTATTGTTATTTACTTGCTTATTAACTCAATGAAGAATGTGCATACATTAAAGATTTTTTTGTATGTGAATTTAATGATGGGCCTTAAGGCTGATAAAATGTTCCATAAACAAACCTGTCTATTCTTAGTCTCTAGTATGGTACAAATTTCTGAGAGTTGATTATTTTTGATGTTTTCTTACAACCATTTAGAAAAAAATTGATATATCCTTATTTTGATTCCAATATTGATTCTAAATATGAAAGTCCTTTATATAAAAACATAATTCCTTGTTTCCAAGGACTGTTTGTCCTTAGTTCCCTCCTAAACCAAGGAGTTGGAGCAGTATCTACAGTTAGAGAGAAGGAAGGAACCTATTGCTGCTACTTTTGCTGTTCTTCCTCACTTGCCATTTCCTCAGGAATAGCTGTGAATGCTTTTCCAGGATTTGTAACTGGTAAGTTATGTCTGGATATGCAGGAAAAAGTCTCATGGTATTAAACTAATACTATAAAAATCAGTTGTTTTCCAATCTTTTGTTGAAATCCAATTAGTCTTTGCTTCTAACTTATAGAACTTGCATTATATGGACATGCTATACAGGGATTTAGTTGGTAATATGCCTTGCTTACCTAGCATTTTTTGAGAGTCCCATATATATTCATACCAAGTCCGTACCCGATTCTGCACACTCTTAGGAATGGAATAAGTATTCATGTAGGAAATGGTCTGATCCATGCTGATTCGGAAGTAGTTCTGATTGGCTGTAGCTGCCCCAATTACATCTTGCATCTAAAACCACAAATATGGTCACTCTGCACTTGGTAGAGGAAATGCAAAAGTTACTAAAAGCCCAGTTGAATTAAGAGTTTTTATGAGATACATTCCACTCTAATGCACTACTTGATTTTTAACACGCTGATATTGAGCCTTAATTTCAACCATTTACATAAATCATATCCTCCCTCTGACCCCATAAGGACAACAATAGGACCTGTCTTACTTACCATGTGAAGTTTTTGTGAGGATTCAGTCACATAATGCATATGACTGCACACGATCTTTTTCGCAAACGTGTGTATTACTGCAAAGATGTTAGTTGATATTTTAAAAATTATACAGCTTGTGCTTATTCAAGGGATGTACAAAGAGTTGAGCAATTACCTGGCAGAATGTCTAGTCCATTTTTGTGAGTCTCATTTTAAAAACATCCTTCATAGATTATCCAGTGTGGCTGGCTATATAGACTCAATTCATCATGAAATTGCAACCTCTGTACTTCACTTTGTGTTGTTTAGACAGATAAAATCAAATCTCATCATGCTTAAGGCACAGTATTCAGCAGAAGTTGAAATGTGCTGAAATTACTGAAGCATCATCCACTGCTGTGACAATACTTAAGGAACCGTCAGGTTTTAGTTCTTGGATGTTTATAACTCAGCCATAACAACCCACTCTAGGTTAAAAGCTGATCTTTAAGGTCTCAGCACAAAAAAGATATATAGCTTGACTCTTCCTCTCACATAGAGGGAAGCAAGTGGTTGTAAATTTGCTTTGACTGTGGGTTTATAATACAGAGGAAAACCAGGGTCTCACTTTTACATTCTTGAAACTTTGCTCATTCATTCTAGTAGCTGAGCCTTTTCTGCTTATAGAAAAATTACTCATTCTTCGAGGTCTACCTCAAATGACTCTTTTTTTTTTTTAAGATTTTATTTATTTATTTGACAGAGAGAGACAGCGAGAGCAGGAACACAAGCAGGGGGAGTGGGAGAGGGAGAAGCAGGCTTCCTGCTGAGCAGGGAGCCCGATGTGGGACTCGATCCCAGGACCCTGGGATCATGACCTGAGCCGTAGGCAGACACTTAACGACTGAGCCATCCAGGCGCCCTCAAATGACTTTTATTGTGGTGCCTTCCTCAGTTTATATTTTTAGAGTCAACGGGTTTTTCTTCTTATCAAAAGTATCTGCTGAGGAGCTACGCAGATAGTCAAACAGGATACATCCATTTCAGTCCCTGACTTACTCCTTGGGGCTATTCCAAATATCCTTCAACAACCTCAGTTACTAGATCTCCTTTTTACAAGCCATTCTTGACAGATGGAAAACATTACCAAGACACCTAAGGCCATGAGAATTGGAATATTGGGGGTTGGGTTGGGAGATTTAATAGGGTTTTAAGTTGGGAGCCAAGGATAATTAAGAGCATTATTGATCAACGTTGAGGGCCCAGAAATTATAGTGAGTAATCTGAACAGTTTATGTGTTATCCTTCAGCAACACTGGGTTTTGGTTTTGGTAGCATTGGTGAAGAAGACATGTGTTCCAGAATAGGGGGAGAAAATGTCAGTCTCTATGAGTTGTATCAGAGAATAGAATATTGTAATTAAAATGTGATGATCAGGTCCAGGGTGTAGTACTTGGTGTGGTTATATGTGGGGATTTTGAATAAGTGGAGATTGTGTCCCAGTTCCTCTTTTGTTTTTAACTGTTTTCCTCAGCATCTTGTATTCACTATGAGAGATTAAGGCATAAATCTGTACCTCCTGTCTCACTCTTTTTCTGCAGTAGGGGTAGGGGGAGGCTCTAGTATGACATTTTTAGTGGCTTGATATTTCTTTCTGTTCCTGTTGGAACCTCAAATTCAATGTAAAGGAAGATGTGGTGTGGGTGTGTAAAGCAACACTTCTCAAACTTTCATGTGCATATAAATCACCTGAAGGTCTTGTTAAATTGCAGATTATAACTCCATAGTTCTGGGGTGAGGCCTGAAATCTGAATTTCCCAAGTGACTCTTCTTTTGTTAGTACAAAGACTACATTTGGAGTAACAAGAAAATTGAACAGAAGCTAGATATAATTTTTTTTAATCTTGTAGACATTACCTTGGGCATAATAAGTACTAAATACATGTTAAATTTTACTATTACTATCAATACTATATGGCCATATCATACAACTGTGAATTATCATGTAGGAATTAGGGATGCCTCTTAATCTCTTTAAACTAGAGTTGCCTCATCTATCAAAGTGAGACAGCATTGAAGGGGATGTGGCTACCTCATACAGATTTTATGAGAAACTATGGAATAATAAGATTTTTGCTATTTATGTTCAAATTAATTGCATTTCTCTCTAAACCAGTTTTCCATTTTCAATCATTGTCGATGCAATGATTAAGCCATTATGATTATGATATTTTATACTTACAGTTTTTAACTGCTTGTGTGTTCTTCCCAAACCTAAATATTTTCTAGAGTTTCCTTTACAATCTTTCTCTCTACTCTGTTACCATATTCAGGCTGGAGTTGCCATATCCCTATATATCTCTTAACCATATTTTTAAATTTTCTGTATGTTGATGCTTTGATATCTGGTACAATCTCTCTCAGAGTTAGCTAATTCCTAGAGATAGCAAACAACTCTACTGGGAGTGCACCTTTCATAGGCAAAGTAACAATCCAGAGGCCATACTCCCAACAGCCTTCTTTATTGGACTTTCATATTCCAGGCTACTATCCACTTGATCCACCTAATCACTCCAGAGCCAAGTACCAGCCAACCAGCCAAGAGACAGCCCCTACATCCCAGAACCTGCTAAAATTATACAAACTAGCCAATCCTAAATCTGCTTACCCTGCTTCACCTGTTCCTTCCCTGGTGCTTCCCCATGTGTCCCCTTGGCATGTTGTGACCCTTCTTTCTGGGTCTGTTTGTATAACAAACTATCTTTTTTAAAATTTTATTTTATTATGTTATATTAGTCACCATACATTAGTTTGGTGTAGTGTTACAACATACATTAGTTTTTGATGTAGTGTTCCATGATTCATTGTTTGTGTATAACACCCAGTGCTCCATGAAATATGTGCCCTCCTTAATACCATCACTGGGCTAACACATCCCCCCACCCTCTCCCCTCTAAAACACTCAGTTTGTTTCTCAGAGTTCATAGTCTCTCATGGTTCGTCTCCCCCTCTGATTGCTCCCCCTTCATTTTTCCCTTCCTACTATCTTTTTTTTTTTTAACATATAATGTATTATTTGTTTCAGAGGTACAGGTCTGTGATTCACCAGTCTTACACAATTCATAGCGCTCACCATAGCACATACCCTCCCCAATGTCCATCACCCAGCCACCCCATCCCTCCCACTCCCCATCACTTCAGCAACCCTCAGTTTGTTTCCTGAGATTAAGAGTCTCTTATGGTTTTTCTCCCTCTCTGGTTTCATCTTGTTTCATTTTTCCCTCCCTTCCTCTATGATCCTCTGTCTTGTTTCTCAAATTCCTCATATCAGTGAGATCATATGATACTTGTCTTTCTCTAATTGACTTATTTCACTTAGCATAACACCCTCTAGTTCCATCCATGTCATTGCAAATGGCAAGATTTCATTTTTTGATGGCTGCATAATATTCCATTATATATATATATATATAATGGTATATATATGTGTGTGTATATATATATGTATATATATACACACATATATATATATATACATATATATATGTATATATATATATACACACACATATATATACCACATCTTCTCTATCCATTCAATAACAAACTATCTTTTCAATGCCAACTGTGTCCTGATTTGTTGGTCTCACCATACCTAAATAATAATAAAACCTACTTTATTTTTTAAAGATTTTATTTATTTGTGCGAGCATACCAGAGAGAGAGAGAGAGAGAAAGAGAGAGAGAGAGAGAGAGAGAGAGAGAGAGGTGGGGACAGGCAGAAGGGAAAAGAGAGAGAGAGAGAGAATCTCTAGCCCCAACATGGGGCTTGATCCCATGACCCTGAGATCAGGACCTTGAGATCACGACCCTGAGATCATGACGCCTGCCAAAATCAAAAGCTGGATGCTCAACCAACTGAGCTACCCGTAATAAAACCACTTGTAAAGACAGTATCACTTCCTCCAATTCATATTATATTTTGATTAATCTTCCTGAATCTCTCCTTCGTTCAAAATTCCCCATTGGCTGACTTCCCATTGCTGTTAAGATAAAATTCAACATCTTTAACATTCAGAGCCCTTAAAATATTTTGTCCTTAGGTATATTTCTAACCTATTTACAAGCACTCTTCACTCTAGCCCTTCTCTATTTCCTCAAACACATTTGTGTTTTATCATTGCCATCTTTCACATACTGTTTCTGATTGATTGGACTATCTGTCTGTAACTATTGAATCCTATCTGTTTTTTTAAGATGCTGCAAATACATTCTTCTGGGAAGCTTCCCTATTTTGAACTAATACAGAGCTTTCCAAACTTTCCTTTGGTACTTACCATGGATAGCAGACCCTGATATTCATGGATGTAGGATTGAGTTCTATTTGTGGTCAGCTTCAAATGTTATAAAAATAGTTTTTATTGCTAACTTTTGTTAAAGCATGGGATTTATTCATACCACAGTGAGTGTGGTGAGAACTAATGATTTATCTAGTGGGAACAGTCATTTTGTGATTTTGCCTAACTCTTTACCCAGGATACAAATCTCAACATGACTTTTTTGTTCTCAAACATATGGTATGTGAAGTACCTTCCAAGGAAGTATACTTTCTAAGAATGCTATGCCATCCAGATTTTTATTTCTTATGAATCTGGGAATCCACAAAAATATTGGGCTCTATGCCTTGCAAATGCCAACTATCTTGCAATAGTTATTTGCAATTGTTTTACTTTCTTACTAGACTGTGATTCCTTGAGAATAAGGACAAAGAGATGCCATAATAAACATTTATGAACCAATGACTTATTAATTAAATTGATTTAGACGGCATTTGTTAGCCTCTGGTTTAAGTTACCTCTGAAGTTGATTTTAATCTAGGGACTTTATGACAATATTCGAAGTTTAATTAAAGAAGGGCGATTTTAAAGGTCTTTTAGGAAATTCCAAGAAGTCAATTTAGAAACTTGACTTTCTTTGAGTCCAACCTGACACTCATTGTGGATAGGTCTTCTGATAGATTTAACAGTTTAAAAATTGAAAGGCAATGTTGGCTCATTCACATCTTCCTCCAATTCATTAAAATATATGAATGTTAGTAAAAAAAAGAAAGCACTAGATGGATTTTGATTTTTCTTCTGTAAATTTATAAAGACTTAGGCTTTCAAAAATAGTAGCATTATGTATCTAGGGAGTCACATCTCCATTTACCTGACCAATTAAGCCAGAGAACACAAAAACTCCAGAAAAAAAATTCAACAGTTGAAAAGCAATTTCAAATGACGTTTGTGGTTCTGGAAGGCCCCCGATGGTAATTAAAGTTCGAACGGCCCAGTAATAACATCTCAGATACCTGTGAAAAGAAAATATATACATTTTGCTTTTTATTATTACATTAAAATACCACTATGCTTGGGAGTATAGATTACTACTAAATTATAACACATTTCCTCCTAATCATGATTTTCTTTCTATAGGAAACATTAGCAAATACCATGTGACTTACATAAACTTTTTTTTAAAGATTTTATTTATTTATTTGACAGAGAGAGACACAGTGAGAGAGGGAACACAAGTGAGGGAGAGGGAGAAGCAGGCTTCCTGCTGAGCAGGGAGCCTGCTGTGGGGCTAGATCCCAGGACTCCGGGATCATGACCTGAGCTGAAGGCAGATGCCAAATGACTGAGCCACCCAGGTGCCCCTAACATAAACTTCTTGATAAATATTGTGAAATTACTAAACAATTAGCCCCGTGGAGGGTGTTTATTAGCTATTCTGCTTATCTCTTGCTACAAAACAAACCACCCCAAATTTAGTGGTGGTATAAAACAACTATTTTATTAGGACTCATAAATTTGTGGGTTGGGTATTTGTGTAAAGCCCAGCAGAGATGGCTCATCAATGCTCCGTGATGAGTAAACCCTCAGCTGGGGTGACTTTAATGACTGAAGATAGTTGGGCAGACTTATTGAGGCCAAATATCTGGGGCCTTGATTCTGTTGACTGGGTTCTTCTGTTCTACACATTATGTCTGTTTGGAATGCCCAAAGTGTCTTCTTCTCTCACATGTCTGAGCTTCGGCTGGGATGGTTAGAATGGCTGGGGCTCTCTGGGTATCCTTTTTTCAAGCAGCCTCTCAATACGACTAGCTTGAGCTTCTTCATAGCATGGTAGTCTCAGGGTAGATGGGCTTCTTACATGGTGGCTATAGTAGCACAGAGAGTAGCTATAAGGTTTCTTATAACTTAGAAGTTCCATAATGTCTTAATCTCTTGTCACAGTGTTGAGGGAAAGGATAGCAGTACTTTTTACAGAATCCTTACAATGAGAGGAACAGCAAAGAATTTGGAGGCATCTTTAAACTACCACACTAGTGATTTGTGAGATCAAGGATATTTATAAAGATTGGAGAGCCTTTATAGTTTAGATACAGTTGTTTTTACTGACAGAAAATATAACAGATATATTCCTCCTCTCTCTTTTCTACCCACACTTATTAAATTATTGAATATATAATCATAACAGAGACAGAGGCATACTGACCTCAATCTTAAAAGGGAAATTTCTCTTGGGTATAAGAGGTAATTTATCTAGAAATTTAGTATTGAAGAAAATCGGGTATAATAACAATATACTTGATTAATATAATAATCAAATTTAGAAATATACTTGATAAAGATTCTGTACTTAACTTGAACAATTGCAAGTGGAGAGACTGGGATCATTATAGCCCAGATAGGAAGTGAATTAGAAACCAAGGCAGCAGAAAATATTATGATAAAGATTAGGACAGAACGTATAAGATTGACTTAGCTACATTTTGTTAAGGGTTTCATAGAGTCCATAGTGAGGTGGGATTGAAGGTTGGTATTACAACCTTATTGTACATTTATTGTAATTTTTGAGCATGATTAGGTATACTACTTGATATATTTCATATAGCTCTGATAACATGGTCTGAATCAGGCATTCCCACTGAATCCTTAAAGAAAAATTTGCTGTATATACACAATATCTCCATATATTGTTGCAAGGAGGCATTGGATTTAGTGGGTTCCAACTAACAATTCTAGTTTCTAGGGTAGACACAGAAAAGCAGTACTTTTTACAGAACTCTGGCCCTAGTCTGGCTTTTATTTCTTGCTTAGGTATGCCGCATAAATATTTGCACTTCAAGTAATTGTGTATTAGTCTTTGAACAAGAGTGGTCTTTTTCTTGTGAAAAAGTTTACAGTTTTCAGATCTTCAAACAGTAGGGAGTTGGAGGTTTACAAAGAATCAAACTGCAGTTAAGTCAATATTCAAAAGCAGATCTAGAAAGAAATCACTCATTTTGAAATTCAATAACTTTTGAAGGACATGAGTTTTTTTTTTTTTTTAACCTGGTGGATATAGGAACAGAAAAATAATTAACTCTTTGGGAAGGTTTGAAACCACTGTGCCAAGAGAATAAAAATATTACCACTGTAATTTTTTCCAGCAGATTTCTTTGGCCTTGCTAATATTATAGTGAACTGGATGTCAAAGAGAACCACCTTGAAGAAGTATAGAATTAATTTTATGGATTGCATTTTAACTTTTCAAATTCCAATTTATAATTTCCTATTACCTGATTTAGTTTGGTCACAGGCCTAGGCCCTGTGGGTCTCTTTAAATTAAGGAACTATATTGAACTCAATACTACCCAAGAGTGTGACAGGGACTAGATTCTCTCCCTACATGGCCAACTCCATTACAAATGTTGGGATTACTGTCCCCTTCAAAGTCACTGCATTGTTAGCAGGAACAAATATGAGTTACTTTCTCTCATTTTCTTATTTATGGATGTTAGAAAACAGTCAAATGTGAAACATAGGCATTGATCTTTTGAATCTGAAGGGTTAGCCTTGAACTATTTTTTTTTTGTGTACAAAATAGTCTGCTATGTTAATTGGAAGTTTTCTGCCCTAATGCTTTGAGGTTTATTTTTGGATCTCTTCTCAGTCATGTCTTATACACTCAGACATGCACAACCAAAGGTAAGATTTGTAATTTAATTAGATGACATCTTATTGATTTTTCTAAGTTTAGCTTAATTAGTCAAGTGTGTCCACCTCTAATATTAACATGCCAGGCAGATAGATCTTTTCAAGGAGACTCTATCTGGCTGATTTAATACATGAAGTATCTAACAGGCTGTATATATACAGTTCCAAGTTAGAGCAGTAAGGCGGAATTTGACATAAAACCATAAAAAACATTTAGTGTGAAAACAGAAATTCTTCTGTGAAACAAACATGACATGAAACTTCCCCCCAACATTTTGTTATAAAAATAGAATTGAAAGAATTTTATAGTGAACACCCACCTTTTATAGTGAACACCTAGATTCTACTATGAACATTTTATTCTACCTACTTTGTCACATATCCCTCCAATTTTCCATTCAGCAATCCATCTTATTTTCTTTTCCTTCTTATTTTTTGGATGCATTTCAAAGTGATTTGCAGATGGTAAGTCACTTCCTTTTAAGTACAGTGCTTCAGAACAAATATATTAACCAGAGTTCAATATTTGTATAGAGTTATTTTTTTTTAAAGATTTTATTTATTTATTTGGCAGAGAGAGAGAGACAGTGAGAGCAGGAACACGATCAGGGGGAGTGGGAGAGGGAGAAGGAGGCTCCCCACTGAGCAGGGAGCCCAATGCGGGGCTCAATCCCAGGGCCCTGGGATCATGACCTGAGCCAAAGGCAGACACTTAACGACTGAGCGTCCCAGGAGCCCCTGTATAGAGTTATTTTTAAATTTTGAAAATACAATAAAAGCACAAATCTTAAGTATATTATTTGATGAATTTTGACAAATGTATATATCTGTGTAACCCAAACACTTATCTAGATAGAGAACATTTTCATCTCTGTAGAAATTTCCCTCATTCCTTTTCCCGGAGGCAAACACTCTTCTAATGTTTTCTACCAGAGATAAGTTTTGCCTGTTTTAGAATTTCACATAAATGAAATCATACCATATGTACACTTTTCTGTAAGATGTCTTTCACGCAGAATAATTATTTTGAAATTTATTCATGTTGTTGTGTATATCAACAGTTCTTGCTTTTTTATTGCTGAGTAGAATCCATTGCATGAATATAGCACAGTTTGTTTATTCTCCTATGTATGAACACCTAGGCTGTCTTGAGTTTTTGGTTGTTATAAATAAACATTCTTGTATGTACTTATATTAGTTTTTAATGGATATGTATTTTTACTTTTCTTGGGTAAATATTTAGGCTTGAATTTTTGTTTGTAAGGTACATGTTTCTTTTCTTCAAGTTTTTATTTAAATTCCAGTTAGTTAACATATAGTGTAACATTAGTTTCAGGTGTAGAATATAGTGATTTATCACTTACATACAACATGTAAGTTGTATGTTTAATTGTAAAAGAAACTGTCAGATCTTTTCCTAAAATAGTTGTCATTTTTCATTCCCTCCAACAATGTATGAGAGTTCCAGTTGCTTCATGTTCCTACCCTAACACTTGATATTTTCAGTCTTTTTAATTTTTAGCCATTGTAGTGGATGTATAGTGGGACATGCAACTTTTAAAAGTATCTAATTTAATACTTTGTGTGTGGACCTTCTTAACTACTGCTATCCACCTTAGTCCCACATTTCTATAAATTTATCACTGGAGGGAGAATGGTCTCAGTAGAAGGTAAGTTCCACAAAGACAGGTATTTATGGACCTAGCACAATAAGAGTTTATAATATTTGTTGAATGAGGGACGCCTGGGTGTCTTAGTCGGTTAAGCGTCTGCCTTCGGCTCAGGTCATGATCCCAGGGTCCTGGGATTGAGTCCCACATTGGGCTCCCTGTTCCACAGGGAGCCTGCTTCTCCCTCTACCTCTGCCTCTCTCTCTCTCTGTCTGTCTCTCATGAATAAATAAAATCTTAAAAAAAATATTTGTTGAATGATATGAAAAAATAAGTGACTGGTTATGCATCCCTAGACTTATTAAAATAAGAACATAGGAAGACTGCATCTGTGAACACATCTGTGGGATCTCCTTGTAGACTCCTTCCTGTTGTGCTGCCAGATGCCTTTCATCTCCTTTCTGGTCCACTGAATTCACTGCTGTTCTGGTGTGTTTTGTTACATCCAAAGGCTGTGTAGTGTCTGTCTAGTGTAAACACTTCTCTTTTCTTTCCTTTCTTCCTCCCTCCCTCCCTCTTCTCCCTCCCTTCCTCTTGTTCTTTCTTTCTTTCTTTCTTTCTTTCTTTCTTTCTTTCTTTCTTTC